CCCCAAAACCCCAAAACCCCAAAACCCCAAAACCCCCAAAACCCCAAAACCCCAAAACCCCAGGGTATTTACCTACATTGAAAAATATGAAGAAATTTCAAAAAATTCGAAAATAAAAGAACAGCTGCTTTAGCTATAAACATCCAATATTAAGTAACTTCTTTAGGTAAAAAATGCTTCACAAATATATTCTAACATCCCTCTCAAATATACTGGAACTAACTCCCTAATTTTTCTTAAGCATACTATATTTCCAATTAAAAAATAAGCCACACAGTTAAAATATGCACCAAAAAATCCCAAAGGATCAATTTTCCTCCACATACCTCTACCAAAGTACCACTTCCCTTCCACTTCAGTCCAACCCCCTCTCAACTTCCCCTCCAAATTTACTCCATCCAGTCCTACCCCTCTATCCTACACTCCCTTTTCCACTCCTCAAAAGTCAAAACTTTTCTTTATGTGAAATAAAATTTAGGTGAGCCCATCCAGCTCAGATTTAGCAAATATTTATTTTATGAGGATTAGTAAGAGGAGATTTTAACTTTTAGAGATGGATTTTGGTTGTTGGAGAAGATTTTTAAGACAGTTAAAGAAAGGATGATTTAGAGATGAAAGATCTGGATTTTCGGCCGTTCTAGTAGGAGATATCAGGGTCAAAGGATATTGAGAGAGGGGGATTTTATATGAAGATTGGCTTTTCTTTAAGGAAAAGTTGTGTCAAATGAAAGCAAAGTGGAATCATTTTGTTTTTGGAAAAGACCGATCTTCATGTATAGAGGTTCTGGTGAGGATAAAAAGTGATGGATTTTTTTAGTTTAGAGAGGGAGATGGCTTAGAAGAGATATATTAGCCGCTTTTTGATATTGGAGCATTTAGATTTTTATACTGGATGAGTTTTGCTAGCTTATTCTTGTTCTTCAGATGTTACAAATATTAATTTAGCTAAGTAAGTTTTTGGCAGTTTGCTCTGTATTCTGGATAGAAAGTTTGATATAAGCCTTCTTCTCTCTGTTTTTCCATCTGGGGAAATCTTCAGTCTATATAAGTATTATACTTCTGAAAAATCGTTAATAATGAGGAATGCGTGCAGGTTGCTTTACAAATATTCATAAAGTTAATTCCAGGATATAAACTAACAATTTTGATATAATAAAAGGAGTGATTCATGATCCCCAAATTATCTCAACATTTTTTTATATAAAAACTACTACCTCAAAATTCGACTTACCTTTGGGTGAATCTGCAGGCTTACTTAGAAGGTACTTATCAAGAACATTATCAGACTCTTCCTGGTTCATCGACATGTATACTTCATAGTTCTGACCAGCTGAGTTAAAGCGAGATCTCTTAGACTCTCATGGAATAACATCCATCTTTTGGTTATGATGAAGTTTCAAATCTGGAATCTGGCTGTATCTCATATTTTTACAATGATTTTGAGCGTGTGAAGAGGCTGATGAGTCTAAAAGTATTATACCTCTCATCTACCTCCAAAAATATTCGATATTGTTAATTTCACAGGCTTTTTAATGCTCTTTTGCTTAGCTAGCTTGGATATCTTCCCTTTAAAGTTAGGCTTCACTTTTCTACACCCATATTAGAATCAGATTTCTTAAAACCAAAGATATACAATTTGATAAACAAATTGCCGCATCAGTATTTCTTCACTTACTTCTTGGCTAACTTAGAAGAATGAGACCCTGTCTTAGCGTTATTCTTATAGATAACTTCTCTTAAATTAATATCCTTTTGGATAAGTTTGGATATAATTTTAGCTACTGGACTAAAGACTCTACATTTTAAGAAGAGAACCTTACCTAGGGACTACTCTTTTTGATAAAGAACTAATTTTTGAGACATTTCTGCTGTTTTTCTTATCTGTGTGAACCCTTCGCCTAGGTTGTCTGACCAAGGTTCTTTTAGAAGGCGAGCAGCTTTTGAACCTAATGAGTTTCTGAATATAAGATCTACGGGTAATATGGCATCTTACTTCTTTTGGTTTGAGAATTGCTTCTTCATGAAATTTTTCATTTTATCTAGCTATAAAACATTAAATTTATTGACTTTTTTAACTATAAAGAACGAAATAGTAGACAATGAGCCTCAAAGAGGTAATTTTCAAAACATTAAAAAGAGAGCACTTCTAATAACCAAGGATATGAGAAATAACACATATTATGCATTCACCGAGTTTCACTAAATTCCTCAAAAATCACAATTTATCCATCTCCAAAACACCTACTTTTACTCAAACTTTATTCTTCCTAATCGTTCTTTTCGGTTCAAAAACCTCCTTTTCCACATTCTGGCCGCTCATCTACATCCATATCAACACCTCAGGTCCAAAAACTCCCTCTACCACCACTTATCCCCTCCTCCATTCATTCCCCAAAATCCCCAAATCCCTCTAAACCCCCCAAAATCCCGTTTTCTTCAATCCCTCTTCTTCAACAATTTGATATGGTTGTTTCACTGAAGTACTGGCTTCGTAGTGAAAGAAATAGAAGTTTAGAGAAGAAATGGAAATTTTGGGGAGTTTTTTAAGGGTGGAAGGGGGTTTTGGGGTATTTGAAGGGGCATTAGGGGAGAATTGTTAGAGTGGGTGGTGAGTGGGATTTGATTGAAGAAATTATGAAATTGGGTTATTTGGTTCTAAAAATATTTGAAGAGGGAGTAATTCTCTGGATTATTTAATTCAAATGTGGAGAAATATGAAGTAGATCGTTATATTGAGGCTAAGAATGGACTTATAAGTTTCGCAAATATTAGAATATTGCTGCATATGTCTCCCTCACACTCCAATTACTCACAAACTCTGAAGTTTTATTTTATTCCGAAAATATGAAAACTTCATAAATAAAAATATTGAACAATCTAGTTTTGATTCTAGTCAAAATTTTGGATTAATGACTTAAAACATCAGCTAAAGTTTATAGAAGTGCAGACTATTACAACTAAGAGATGACACTAGATGTTTTAGAGCTACTTATACAGTTTGTGTTTCCAAAAGACATATAAAAACTTCGAGGGATAGATAGTTTCCAAAAACTCAGAAAAGTTTCCACTCAGTATGATATATAAGCCCTGCAAGCTTCAATGATTGAGCCCTGTGCCTACCTTTCTGCTCTGGTTTCTTCTCCTTTTGTCAAAAGTTTGATAGATATCGGGAATTTGTGTCTGTTGCTTCATTTATAATTTTCAGCAGCAATTATTTAAATGGGGTTTTGGGGTTTTGGGGTTTTGGGGTTTTGGGG